ACATCATTCGGTTGAATGCAGGGCATGCCAACTCTTCGGTCGAGCTCGGCCGAGGAGTAAAATTTGTTGATGTTGCGTTGAGCGCGTTGCTGACTTCTTTATCTTGCGACTGCGGCCGAGGAAAGAACAAATCTCGGCCTTTGGATTCTCAAGCCTGAAGACAAGGCTGCTAGTTCTGCGAAGTTCACAAATCGTCGGCGCCCGATTCAGTCATAGTGATTATATTCGTAAGATTATAAGCACGTCGAATTGACACCAAACTGTACGAACACAAGTATTCAAAGGTGATGTATGTCTTGATGGTGAAAGTGGTTCAGCCTTCAGAATGCCGAATTCTGAAACTCACTTGTGAATATCCAATCATAAAATCACTCGGCGTCCAGTACGCCAAATGTCGTAACTCGTAACACCTTACTTCGCCGAGAAGGCTAATAAGATGACCTCTGCCAATAAGGATTCGAAAACCCTTCTCGACCGAGACTTGGATAGGTAACCAGTCGGCCTCGACGTAGTGCTGTTTATCCAAACTGAAAGCGCTCCTCGGTCGGCTGATTCTATGGCAACAGTGCTGTTTATCCAAACTGAAGATGTGTCGGCGGGAAAAAGAAAATAAAAAGTCTCAAGATGTTTGAGAGGTTTTGCGCAGGGCAGTTATGTGTTGAATTGAAGGTCCTTAATTGTTGCATGATGTCTTGTATTTATAGCACCAACTCCTTCTTGAGATTGAATTAAAATCATATCTGGATTGTGATTTCTTGTTCCGTTCCAACTTTGCTCCGAACAACCCTACCCCCATTAGGACTTTGAACTCACCCATTTTTTAGGCTTTATTCATTGTTGGTCGAGAATCCTAATTGCACTAGGACTTCCTCGACCCGTTTGCTTATCTGAACTACTCCTTCTTGTGATAAGACTCGACCATCCCTGCTGAATGGCCCGAGATCACCAGACAGCCCATAGTATTCTTGAAACGGCTTTGGGCCGAGCACAAACTTACACTCGGCCCAACAATATTATTTTGGGCCCAAACAGTCACATAAAGTTATGTAGAAATTTCATATCATATTCCAATTGGAAATTTGCACTCTCGTTACCCTTCAAGACTTGAAATTGTAAATACAATACTATGACTTTTCTTGTAATCAAGTATTGTGCAATGACTACCACTTTGAAAATGAGGCTTTCTTGCTTTTTTCTAAATCACTGTAAATTTTTTTTTTCTAGCTTCTAATGAATGTCTCGTCTCCCTTCAAGGTCCTTTTTTTCGTATTCACACGATGCATCAATCAACATCCACATCCTCTTCAATAAATAGTTGATTTTTTCAAAGATAAATACTCTTTCTCTCTCCTTATGTAAAGTCATATTTATTTTTGTCTTTTAATAAACATGATTGCATAAGAGGAAGAAAAATGACGTGTCAAACTCACAATCCCTTTTCAGATCGTTGAAATTTCATTCGTTCAACTTTTGTGCCCTATGCTCATGTTCCATGGAAATTTAATAAAAGAAGAATAATCCTTTAGACAATCGTTGCAACACACACATAATTCCAAACTTTTGGATAGAAACTGATATGAGAGTTTTCATTCTTGGACTATTGAGTACCCAGCAATGCATCCACGTCCACTTCAATGATTGAATCTCTTAGTATTACGTTTTACTTTGCTTTGTTCAAGATTCATTGTTTCATCTAATTAAAATTCCAAGAATATTTGGCCGAGTGTGAAAAGATTCAATCTCTCAATATTATGAAAAGTTTAGGTTTTTAGTATTTTTGAGTTTTAAATTTTTGAATTTTTTTAATGTTCACATGTGTGCCGTATCATGGGTTAACGAAGATTCTCATAGAAAATTTAATAGATGTATAAAAGTGCCCCACAATTCACAGAAAATCTAACGGATGTATAAAAGTGTTTCACAATTCTCACCTTAGGTATGACACTGAATGAGAAAAACTTGATGTATGAAATGTTGAAAAGTAAGAAATTTCAGAGTGGTAAACTTAGTCCTGGTTTTGGTTTAGCTTAACTTTTAATAAAAAGTGGGTATGAATTTTAAGCGTTTGGTAAACACTTCAAATCAGGTTTTTTTTAAATTATAGGTTAAAAAAAGATGAAAACCCATAGCTAGAAAAAGCAACTTCATAAAAATAGTTTATTTCAAAGAAATTCGGGTAAACAGTAACCAATAAATGAACTTTTCAATTTTCCAATCCTGCCCTCCTTTCTCTTTGTCATCAGGCTCACCACTCTCTAGCATAAACCAATCTCAGATGAGAATTTATCAAATATAGCCAAAAATTAACTATTAATTCTAAAAATGTCACTTTTTATAAAAACTTTCAAATATATACAAAATTTTACTTAAATAGACACAAATACCCTCAAATTTAATAATTAAATAAATTAAAGACTTTTTAGCTACCGTCGCCTTAAGCTCCGATCCAACTTCACCTTCGCTTCTACACTCCACCACCACAACCCTATCCCCTTCGACCCCTCATCACCGACATTGAGCACCATTGCGGTTACTGCAAGTGGGAGTAGCAGAATTTCAATCATGCCTTCAACACCTTTTTTCTTACTAATATCATTTTTAGTTTTAAATATAAAATAGTTTTTAAAGTTAATTCACATGTCGTTATATGATTGTATTTGTGAGACCCACGTGGCGCTACATCATCACACTAACAGAGTAATTGACAAATTTTTCATGAAAAAACTAAAATGATCACGATGGACAAATTCAAAGAAAGACTAAAATGATTCACGATAGACAAATTCAAGAACACTACTATTGATTATCATTAATTGTTAAGGACTAGATTAAAGAGTTATGTCAATATCACGAATCATTTTGGCTAAAAAGTCTTTAATTTATTTGATTGTTAAATTTAAGGGTATTTGTGTTTATTTAGATGAAATTTTGGATATATTTGAAATATTTTATAAAAAGTGGCATTTTTGAAATTAAGAGTTAATTTTTGGCTATATGTGATAAATACTCGTCTCAGACCAGATCTGAAAGAAGGTCTGTTTCCTCCAGCAGATTTCGAAGGAGAGTGGGATCGTTTTCATCGACAATTAATTTCGCGTGGTGATTGATGTTGGAAGAAATCTGCCACAACTATTCATTAAAGGGTTTGCTATTGTCGGAACCTTGGATGAAATGGCAGAGTATGTGATGGTTTTTCCGTTAGATTTCGCAGTAGCCGCCATGGCTGAGCTTGCAACAGGTTATCACGCCTCAATAGTATTTGAAAAATCAAAGCAAAATTAGTAATTTAGTGTTGATTTTACACTGTAAACAAAAACCCAGAAGAGAATTGATAAAAAATAAAAAACCCAAAAAGAGGAAGAGAGAATATTACATCTTTGAAGTGGGTTTTTAGTTTTTGGAATTGTGAGGTTCTTGAAATGATATAATCAGCCATTTTTTATATTATTGTATTCTGGGGTGGGTTAGGAGAGGGTTTGATTTTGGACTGGGATTAAATGGGTTGGTGGCTGCATCTGTTCGAGTGGTGAGGTGGGGGTGGCTCTCGTGTTTTGGATTGATGGAATGAATAATGGCAGTGGCTTGGGTAAGAGAGAGAGAGAGAGAGAGAGAGAGAGAGAGAGAGAGAGAGAGAGGTAGGTGAGTGGGTGAAAAATGGCGGTTTGGGAAGCTTGAGAGTGGGTTGTCGGGATGAGATGTAGTAGTGGCTGGGTTCAAGTTGGTTGGAGAAGATGGAGGTGGGTGGGTTCTTCGGTTTAATGGCACCTCTAGTATTATACCTCAAGTTATTTTACATGGAAAAGGATCCTCTAAAGATATGGAGGATCTCATGATCGTGATCGTTCATCGTATATTGTGCGGTCAATTTTGGTTGGGTACTATTTATATTTAATTTTAAATTTTGAAATGATGTCTGACCGCATGATGTACAATGAACGGATACGATCACGGGATTCCCCGGATTCCCAGGAAATCCTTTTCCATTTTGCATAGTCATAACTGTTTTACATAAAAATTCACCAACACTATAACACTGTTTTTTTTTTATTAAAAACACTTTTTTTAAAAAAAAAAAAATTACTAAACACTCTACAGTTTTATTTCACAGCTGCTTATTCTCACAGTATAACAAAAGTGATATTTTTTCAAAACACATCAATACCAAACTAATCCTTAAAATTATCCTTATTTAATATTACTAATTTTTTTTATTTGGTAAATTAATTTAAACGTAGGTAAATTAGTATAATATTTTATATCAGTAGGTCAATTAATTTATATGCATGTATTTACATGATTCAAACAATATTTTTTTTATTAAAAAAATAATTATTGTATGAAGGAATTTATTTCATACGAAATATGGCTATTAAATTTTTGAATATGGGTAAATTAATTTATATATGTTACTAATATTTATGATACAAGAAAGGTTAAAATACCATATGGGTTTAATTGTTTATCATAACTAGTGTGAGTAATAGCATCTTGGGAAAGTTGTAAATATGTTGTCATGGTTGGTTATATATTTGTTTACATGGCAGTTTATTTTAAATTTGGGTTTTTTTTTAAAAAAAATTTTTATGAGCAAATGGATACTAAGGGGTAAATGGTGTCTCATAATGAGTTAGTAATAGTGTGGTTCAAATTTGTTGAATCTAAAAACTCTTACTTACAAATAAAAAGGAATACCACTAGATTGTAGTATTGAATGTGAATTTGAATGATTAATATTAGGTGCTTTTCTTTATAAAATAAGAATTTCAAGGAAACACTTATTTTTTATTTTTTCCAATTAAAGTGTCTCCATTATTGAATGAGACATACGAGAGAGAGAGAGCATTATTATTACACAAGTCTGTCTTTGCCGTTGACTGACTGTGTCAAACACCATGCCCGACTTTTCTCTAGGACACCATAGACCGACTTTTCCCTAGGATATTTGACGGGCTTACTGCAACTTTACGCAAGGTGCTTTAACCCCTCCTATATTATATAACTACTTGGTGTTTAAGCTATAGTACCCTCTCTCTCCCCATCTCTCTCTCTCTCTCTCTCTCTCTCTCTGCAATGGAAATTAGTGGAACCAGGTCCTTCACCTTAAGTTTAGCCTTTCTTCTTCTTTGCTTTTGCAGTGAAACTTGTAACGCTAAGGACAACACTAGTGCCAAGTCCTGCACTTCATCCTGCGGCCATATCCACAACATAAGCCATCCTTTTCGACTGACCGATGATCCGAAGCACTGCGGCAACGTATCGTATACTCTGTACTGTGATAGCAACATTACAGTACTAGACCTACCTACCGGAAAATACCATGTCCAGGCAATCAACTACAATAACAAAACAATTCGACTCCTAGATTTTGGCCTTCAGAGCAACAACTGCTCTTCCATGTCTCAAAATATTCCGGTCACCTATGACACCATTTCTCTATATTGGCTAGCCCCAAAGCGTTCAGCTTATATATATTACTATTACTTGAAGTGTTTGAATCCATCGAAGTCTTCTCTATACGTGGACACTGCTCCATGCTTGAATAATACAAGTTCTTCTTCTTCGAGTCAACCAAAAACGTACAGCTATGTCACCTGGGGCAAATTCAATTACTTCTACGCATGGGATTTGGATGAGGGTTGCAGTGTAGAGTGGACCAGCACTGTAGAAATGAGTTGGGCTGCCGGCTACGTTGAGGACTACAGCAACTTGTCTTATAAAGACATACACAATGCCCTCATGTATGGCTTTGAGCTTTATTTCGAGCGGCCTTATACAGAAAGCAGATGCCCAGGATGGACTGCGAAAGATGTGTCTACATGTTTTCCTCACACCATTTCAGGTGCGTCAATTCTCGACTAAATTAATAACTTTTGTAGTCGGAAATATAATTGCCTTGTCAAACTATGAACATATAACAAACATTCAAGCAAGAATAAAGCCCTGCTTAATTGTTCTGGTTCAATCACTAACTAAATTAGTTTAGGTATATCCTAATTCTGCAATCCATTATATGGAAAATGAGATTTAATGGTATCAACATGCCACTTGTGGTATTCCACTAAACTAGTAGGTAGGTGGTCTCATGTTTGACTCACATAAATGAAGAGTTTGTGATTATTGATGACTCAATATGATTTAACTTAAATTAGAAAAGGTACCCGCACTTCGTTGCAGGAGGTGAATGTATCATTCACAAGAAGCATGAATAATTTCCATAGAAAGTGGGCAAAATGGTGGTAGGAACATAATCACATTCTCAAATGTAGCGATTCATATAACATATATTTGAGCTGAGTGAATCCAACAAAATCACCAATCAACATACGCATCTTCAAATAATTTAAATAAGCAAGAGATAAGTGATATGGGCTGGTAAGATCAACAGCTTGGTTTTCATTTAGATTCAATTCAGCCGACATCAAGAGCCATATACAATTTAACAGGATGAAGACATACAGTTGCCTTCCTAGTAGAGGTATATATAATAGGGAATTGTTATTGGCACTCCAAAAATCTCATTTTGCATTCCAAATTTTTTATAATTAGAAAGAAAAATACACTTATCGCGAGTGTAGAATGAGATTTTTAGAGTGCGAACAGCAATTCCCTATATAATATCTTATTAATAAATGATTCACAAATGATACTATAGCTGTTAAAAAAACCCATTACTCAAAAACTCCAAGTCCCTCAGAACCCATTACTGAAAGCACCAATTCCATCAAAACCGAGATGGTAAAAGTACAAACTGGTTACAAAAATATGTTGTCTCATCCAATTGACGATAAACAAAACAGATTACGAAAAGCAAAGTAATCAAACAGGCAAAAAATAAGAATAAAATCCTAAAACATTCTCATATTTGATAAAGTCAGCATCCACCTCATGTTCAGCTAGCCCGTTAAGAAAAACAATAAAGAAGGCCATTCGGAATGAAAGTTCATTTCATTTATAATTGATCAGACCTTATAAATCTGATTTGGCAAACGGCTCCTCAGCTCTTCATGGTTGTAAATCTCTCCATTCACCTAATGATTTTCAAAACAAACATCGTATCAGTAATTGTAAATTAAAAATTTTATCTCTTTTTCAAATATTCAATCAATTAAACCACACAAAATTAAAAAATATATGACGCGACCTTGTAAGCAACAGAAGAGATGAAGCGGTGAGTGAGAGAAAAGTGGTAAGCGAGAGAAGCGATGAGAGTGCATCCAGTAAGAGAGGAAACAGCAGGCAAAAAATGACGGCAACACTGAATTCTTCTTGACTACCTAATTAGTGAGTTCCTGGACCTATTTAGAGAGTTACTGGAAGGAAATGAAGCCAACTTTGCAACAAAGAAACAAACAAAAAAGTCAAAATCCAGAAATCCAAGTTTAACTCAATCAAATATAATAACCAATGAAAGTTGCAAACTGCAAATTCTCGCAATGTAGACAAAGAAACTTGTTTCTCAAAGACATAATTGGTCTCTCTCTATGAATACAACATTTGAAAAACCAAACAATAATTAATAAAATAGAAAATTGAAGTACCTAGCAAGTTTTTCTTTTTATACAAACCATCATCTCCACTTGCTCTAAGGAAGGAGGAAGTGTGTCAACCACCTTTCATCACCCTTCATTCAAAACATCACAACACCTGCACTTATATAAAGGAAAAAAAGAAATGAATCAAAATAAAATTATACTATAATCCAATTTTATGAAGGCCAAACTCTTGAGTTGGGGCTGGTGGCCGTCGACCACATCATCGCCTCCATTTGAGAGAAAAGGGTTTGTTTGGCTCTTTTGTCCAATTATTTATACTAACCATATCTAAGTGTGATCCAAATTTGAAGACGGCGGATGGGGAGGGGCAGTTATAAGTGTCATCCTCTTTGTTTCTCATATCCCTGCATTGTCAACCAAAACAACATCAAACCAAGTGCAATACAATCCAATGTAATGCTCACAAAATTTGAGCTCCAAACAAAGTCATAGGTCAGCAATCACCTAATCAATCATAACACCATTCGCAAATATGAAAAACATAAACAACTAAGTCAGCAACATAATATGCCATCCCTTTCATACAAACACAGATTGCAATTCATATATGCCACATTATTTACAAACAATTACAAATCAAGAAACAATTAAATCATCATCATGAATTACAGAGTAATATCAACACCATTAATTAGAAAAGACAGAGCTACATGGGAATAAACATACACAGAGTAAACATACAGAGAGGAACTGCTTCAGATCATTCCCAAAAGCAATCTTCCTCAGGATAACAAAAGAGCGGTTGATCTCTGATCTAATTGCAGACGCAATCTGCAGAACCGACTTCTCTGGAATTTGAACTTGTGAAATGTGGGGTGGAAACCTGAATGTAACAAATTGGTTTGAAGTGAATAATTCCAAACATATGAAATTTAGATCATCGCACCCGAATGCAAACAGAACAATTAAATAAAGAATCGAAGGCATACGCAATCTAATCAGACAAATAAGTGAACTATCCCATGCCGAAATCCGAAAGGCCAACAGAAATCTCTCATTACAGCACAGAAGACAAAACTTAAAGACAAAACTTAAAGGACAAAACTTAAAAGACAAAACTTATAGGACAAAACTTAAAACTAATCAAAATTAGGTGAACCAATTGAAGAGAGCATAACCCTTGTAACCAATCCGGAAGAGATGCTTTTAAATCCCAGAACAAAAAATTATGATGAGTTTTTAAAAAACCATCATTTCAATTATTTTCCAGTCTTACATTTGGGATTAAACAGAAAATAAAACTAAAAATGCCAACTTTCTCAAAAACTAGAGCTACTTTAACAAATTTCCATCACCCAACACTGAAAAATGAGAATCACGAAGCAACGAAGAACGGAACACGCTAGAACTGAAATGTTAAAAACAACACATACCCACTTCAAAGACCAAAAATCCTGCAAGGACAAAAAAAATCCCAGAAAATCAGTACATCAGTACTCCCTGCAAAACCCCAAAATCAGAAAATTAGAAAAGAACCCAAATCAGTGGCATGGTCCTCGTTTCTCCATTAATCAGTAGCTAATGACCTAATGAAAAAGAACCCAAAACAGACTGTTTAAATTATGGAAAGTGCTTATAAAGCTCATGAATAACTTTCAGAGCCTGCATAGAAATGGCATAGTGATAGCGCAGATAATAACAGACAATAAAAATATGCACAGTATAACCAAAATCTGATATGTTGCGTTCCACACACACACATAGATATGTCTACATATACATAGATGGCCCACAGACATTAACACCATGCGGAGGTGTGCACGCGCACAAACATAAGTTGCAATTTGGGACTATTTGGTTGATTCAAAAGAAATTGATGGGTTAGAAAAAGCACAAAAACATACAAAGACAGATGTTTTTATGTCGTTCATCTCTTACGTCGACAAAACACACACACACCTATGTTTTAATGCTCCTCCAATACTCAATGAGAAGGCACCAGGCAAGAAGAAGGTGAAGGCTGGAAAGAAGCTTCCAAAGAGAACAATATATAAAGCAGACCACAAAAATTAGACAAAATTCAAAAACTAAACAGTAGAAAAACCTCTAAAATGAGGGCCGCCGCGGGGGGGACCTAAACTGCAGACACTCTAGCTTTGCGTTCATATGTGCTTCCTCAATTCTAGTGTAAACCCCCAAAATAAACTGCAAATACTCTAGAAATCGTAAAATGAACTGCAAACCCATCAATCATTTCCCAAAATAAACTGCAAATCACAAAATTACCTACCCCAAATCGACCGGAGAACTCACCAGGAAACCAAGGCTTTTCTGGGCTTAAAATTTCCTTTGAATTGGGACCAAATTCACGGTTTTTCAGCAAGAGGTCGTTGTGCTTCGTAGTTTCTGGGAGAGAATCGAAGAGATTTCTAACGGCTTGGTGGTTTTTGAGCAACACAGTGCTGTGGTTGGTGATTTCTGAGAGTGAAGGCGAGGAGAGAAAATGGAGATGGAAGCAGAGTCGATGCTATGTCGTAGAAGAAGAATCGATGGCTTCCACGATCATCAGCATGACCGCACCACGCACAACCCCTACCTATCTAAACACCATTTCAGAAATGTCGATCCTCTTCGAATAGATCGATCGATTCCATAGACAGAGAAAGGAGGAGTAAGACGACGGAGGCGAGAGAAGGGAGACGGCGGCGAGAGGAGGGATAGGACGGAGGCGACGGTGAGAAAGGAGGAGTAAGACGACGGAGGCGAGAGAAGGGAGACGGCGGCGAGAGGAGGGATAGGACGGAGGCGAGACCGTCTGCGTCGTTCTCGCGGGGTCTGCGAAATGGAGGAGGCAAAAGAGGGTTTGAGAAGGATATGGAAAAGGCCGGCTTACCATCCTTCTTTCCTTCCCACAATTATCAACACGTGTGCATCAAGATTAGCGCCTGTGGCAGATTTGTAAATAAGTTGAAATCCACCCAAAAACACTGTTCATTTAAACCGTGCAATTGAAATCCTTGGTAATATGAGGAGTAGCCCAACTCATTATAAGCACATGCAAGTTCCGTCATCTTATCAATTTGGGATTCATTTTCAACACGCCCCTTATTTGTGACAAATTTTCAAGCCTAACACGTGTACAACACAACTTGGGTGACGTGGAACAAGTGAGATTATTGGGTTTCACACATAGGACAACTTGCTTTAATAGCATGAAGAAGTTGAGGTTTCACCATATATAAAACTAATTGGCAATATGGGGAGTAGCCCAACTACTTAAAAAGCATATGCAAGGTCATCCTTTCATCAATGTAATATTCATTCTCAACAATAGTAATGAGGTGTGTTGGAACCAAATCTGCACACCTCCGTGAGTGCTGGTTGAGCACAAATCCGAGTAACCTTAGAAACTTGCAAAACAGTAAAACAACCGTAATCAAACCTTAGACCGGGGGTGAGGCCTTCGACGGTTAAGTTAGTGAATGATTTAGACTCAAGCAGTGGGTAGAAGAGTTTAAGTGTATAGATTGCGTTATCATAAATGAAACTTTAGAGGGTGTATTTATACCATGGGGAGAGAGACATTTTCAGGATAGAATCTTTGTTCTAAACCGGGAGAATCCTAGAGGATATCTAGTAAGTAGATATTGCGTCCTCTTAGGAGTGTAATTATTTGTGACGCACGCCAATCCTTAGATTGTAGAGACTCCAAGACTTATAGGACCTGATTGTGTCCATATCCAGATCAATTCGCATGTCTTATGAAATAAGCACGGCCATCCAGCTAGGTCACTAAGATTGGGCTTATTACCCCGGAGTAGAGTAATGGTGGCACCATGCTCCATCTGATAAAGTCCATGACCGGACTTCAGAGGTGACAGTATTCAGATTAGCCTTACTCCAGCCCTGAAAAATCATGGTCCCACAATTGCCCCTAACTATCTGTATGAGAGGCAAAGTCAACTCTCGGTCAACAGTAGGGTCCACAACCTTATGTAATGTGATCTGGAAGATCTAAACATCGAATTTCAAATCCGTAACTTCCTAAGGTCTTCATATGCTCATAGAACGACATACTAAATTCTCATCATGATTCGACGGTCGGATATCCGCCAATTGCAAGAATTAGGTAGCGGTTAACAATTTTTTTTAACTAACTTAGAAATCCAATTTGGGAAGATCTGTCATTTCCTAACATCCTCAAATATTACGTATTATAACGTATTAAAGTTTGGTGACGATCCAATGGTCGGATCGTTGATTCATGTTTTGAGCAAGTAATGCATCATAGTAAAATTAGGTTCAAACGATCAAACCACGTCATACGAATATCAAATACAAAATCAGGACATCTATTTGAACTTAGAAAGTCATCGTCGGCTCACTAGCCACGCACCACCATAAGTGGCGGTTTCTGGCAAACGGAAACCCAATTTTCAGACTAACTCCAAAAATTACCAAATTTAACAGAAATGTAGATCTCAATGAGTGGAGCAAGTTTCATACCTGTGACCAAGGCCAATTTGGCAGGGAAAGGCCCCAATTTCACTCAATCCCGTTGGAAACCCTAGATAGTTCCTCAGTGTTCCGATGTCCCTACAACTGGTTAGGTCTTGTTCCTGGGTCTAAGGGGAGTTGATTAAGGGTGGTGGTGGGTGGTGCAACTCGCCGGAACGGCAAGATCGCCGTCGAGCCTTCCCGCGAACCTAGCGTCTTCCGTCACGAATTTTGGACCTCAAAGCCCTCGAATTTGGGTGATGGAAAATGAGGGGTCATGGAGTAGGTTACAGGTGGTGGATGGGTGAATTCTGATTGAAAAATGGTGGAAATTGGTCAGAATCAAACCGGGTCACCGCCGGTTTATCGGGTCACAAGGAAGGGGGGTCATGTTGGGTGCTTCTCCCCCCTCTCATTTCTCAGCTTACTCTTTCTTCTCATTGATCCCTTTCCTTTCTCCCTTCCTCTCATTCGCTGAGCCCTCTCCCCTTTCCTTATTTTCTTTTCTTTTCCTCCGTTCATCTCTCTCCTTACCCTTCTCCTTACCCTTCTAAATGAGAACCAAATTACAAGCATGTCCCTAAATTTAAACGTTAATAACTCTTTCATTATAACTCTATTTCACGAACGATTTGCACTTACACGTTCGTGTGATCGAGCTCTATTCAAAAATATAAATTGTGACCTCGAAAGGTCTACGGATTTTAGAAAATTAATTTCCAAACTTCAAACTTCGTAACTAGTTTAATTAAAATCTAAATTCAAATAAATTAATATAAATTCTCAAAAAATAATATAAAATCTTAATAATGCAGATACATAGACTATAACAGTGAAATCCAAGACACGGGATTTCACAGGCAATTTGTTCCTCTTGAGGATGGATTGTTACCAAAGATCATGCCTTTTAGAGTAAGCTGAAATATGTACCGTTTAGTCTTCAAATTCTTTGTAAATGATATAACCTTTACATCTAAAACAGCGGCGTCTGTAATCCTAAATAAGTCGCCTTGAACTCCATGCTTCTGGCCTAGTTTTGATGATGTGTCGCATCTATCGTGTGCATACGAAAAACTTGAAATCTTTTTTGGTAACAATCGGGTCGGTTGATCTCGAGGTGAACCAATCCGTATTCAATGGTAGGACGATTCAAAATCCCATATTTTAAATATCTTCCGCATCACCATTTTCGCTTTTCTTCAAATTTCCAAATCTTATTTAGAAAGTGCTCCAACTCTCCATCTGTCATTGTTAACCTTCCCATACTCGATCAAATTTAATGGCCACCAGCCCTTCTAACCCCAACTATCCAATCTGTCGTTCTCGATATGCCTGAACCTTCTGTGGTGATGGTTTGTAACAAAAGTGAGGAAGAAGCTTTTCTCATAGGTTATAGTCATCTTCTTAATGGATGTCGGTTTGGTGGGACAATAATGACAATGTGGCCTAGACCTTTCTAATTCTAAGTACCCTGATTGTCCCGCACCAGATCCATCCTTGTGATCTTGATTCAAACTCGTAGCTGCTTATATGAGAGAACTGGGCAGTAAGATCAATGCTTGACAGGATTTGTAGGAAATAAATGTTAGGCTTGAAGTGTGCTGGACGCAAAGCGGATTTGGAATACCGAGAGAGAGACCTTGAAGATGTGTTTGGAGAAGGCAGACAAGGCATTGGCATCAGAGGGGAGTTCGTGGGATGCAGACATGTCTATTCTCCAACAAACTTGGACGCAGCTCGGGAAGAAGTATGCCTTATAGTATAAATCCAAGCAGAGTTTTCTCTGCAAAACGAATAGGAAGTTGCAGCGCTTCGGCAACAATACCAGGAATACATCGTTCTTAAATATAATCAGGGTTACTTTGATGGTTATACTGGTCAGGATCACCGTGATCGGTGGGATACCGTTAGTCTGCCGAAAGAGATACGAGATGATAATTTGTCGGTGCCTTTTTCACTTGCAGTCAATGCTCGCTTTATTGGAGCATAGTGAGTTTTCCTCATAATCTAATGGGTATACGAAGAAAAAGAGGGATCCTGCCACTGACATTCCTCACATTGATTCTTCTCTAGTTGATCCTATGGGCGTAATAGATTCTGGTGCCTTGGAGTAACTACCTTTCCCGTGTTTTGTCGGGCTAGAATGGGGGCATGTCCCATTCATTGAACATTTTGCCTTATCTGAGCCTCAAATGTCTATATCTTTATCTGAAGGTGAGAGTTCTTCCAAAGTACTCATTCATCGATTCTCCAACCTTCATGTGAAGCATCTCAAACTCTTTGCGAAGAACTGCAACTGTGCACGTTTGACTTGTGCTGTGCCTTGATACTTTTGCTTCAAAGAATCCCAAATATCATTTGCAGTATCCTTCTTCAAGATTGTCTCCAAAATTGATTGATCAATGGCTTGGAACAGATAGTTCTTCACCTTCAAATCCTTCAGTTTTTTATCGTCAATTGTTTTCTTATGTTCACCTCAAGAATCCCAATTTTCACCAAGCTCCAATGCTCCTTAGACCGCAGGAAGTTCTCCATAAGAATGCTCCAGTGATCGTAGTGCTCATCAAACCTTAGAATAGTAGGCTGCACAAAACTGTTCTCAGTTGCCATGTCGAAGCTTACTCACACTCATGTTTTAGACTTTTGGTCAGGCCCATTAATGAGGCTCTGACAAAGAACTTACAAAACAAAAGCTTGATAACACAAATGCTGGAAGAACTTTCTTATTGAATTCAAAACGTTGTAGCAGTTATATAATAGCTTTGCAAACAAACTGAAAGGGAAAAAACAACCCACGACTTACAACCCTAAGATTGTGGTATATGACTAAGTTTTAAACATATGGTGCAACAAACTTGTCCCTCAAGAATAGGGATTATTTACCATTACTTAAAACAAATCCTAAAAACTAGGAGGCCTAACCCTAACAGCTAGGAAACCTTAACAACTTTAGCAATTCTCTCTTCGGGTCATGCTTTGCTCTGTTAAATTTCTTCTTCTGCAGTTAATCATATAAAAATGACATATTAGACATAATCATGCATATACCGGTGTGGTGTGAATCAAGGGATCTCCAATGCATAAGTTAGACTTGGTAGCTGAATAAGAATTCAAGAACTTAACTTAAGAGTTTCTTGATCAAAAAACAATTACCCGTATCCGTAGGAAACTTTTTCATCGTACCAAATCCCCCCTTCTCCCCTGTATAATATATATACACACATGTACATATTATCAATTTATTGACAGCACTTGAATTTAAATTTTTTTTTTTTTCTAACGATTTATACACCTCACACTTGTTATGGTAATGCATGTGATCTTGTTCTTTCTTTGTTCCTGTAGGTTTCTTTCGATATCTATGGCAACAAATCGGTAAGGGGTCCTCTTTTTGTTTTATTTACAAGTTTTCGATCGACAAACTTGATTTTTCAAATTCTGAAGACTAGGTGAGCTATTGCTAATGTCGTGTATTCTTCGTTCCATTTTTCACTGTAGGTCATGAAGATAGCCATTTGCGTAAGAATTTTCTCCCCAAAAGCTTCTTTTATTTTTGTGTGCTCTATCTGTACTTCTTAAACCTAGTGTTTGTCTTTGCTCACTTTTTCGTGGTATGTATCTATTACAGCTGGCAAGTTGCGTCCATTGTTACGCACCGAGAACAACGAAACCGGTAAGAGCTTCATTTAATTAGTCCAAACGCACAAGTCTTTTGATTTTGGGTATCTTTATCGGCACCCAAATTTTAGTTAAGTTCACCTAATTAAAACATTTGGTCAAACTTCATAGTTTCCCCTCATTTTTAAGTTTGCCCAAATCTACACCAGCCTCCACCAACCAAAGGAAAGAGAAAAAGAACAGACAACTGCCGCGCGCCCGACAAAACTACACCATCCTCCGGTCCCTCCCTCATCGACAGCGTCGATGCCGGCTCCGTGTGGGTTTGTGTGTTCGTTCTCTTTCTATTGGTGAATGGTGGGTGTGTGTTGTTCCTTTTTTTGGTGGGTGCTGCTTGCTGCTTGGTGGGTTGGGTGAACTTAATTTCGACGGCAAATTAAAAAGTTTGATGACAAAATTTTTTAGTTAAGTGAAACTAACTAAAATTTGGGTGTCAATAAAGGCATCCTTAGATTTAATTTTTTTATTTATTTTTTCACTTTATGCACTTTTCAAACTCATAGTCGATTAATTTTTTTGCAGTGCGTGGATTGTTTATACTCATATGCATCGGTAAGGACTAAGACAAGATTGTATTATCGTCATAAGTAGATTTCCCATTCTCTCTCTTTAATCACATCAAAGACAAAGTAATTTGGATAAAAAGGGAAGAAAAAGTAGTACGCAATGGATCTAACATATTAATGTCAATGCATGCAGGGTTATTTTTCCTAGCCAGATTTGTTTTTGGAGGTCTAGTTGTGACTGCATTTTTAATCTACACATGGCGCAGAAGACATTTATCAATGTATAGCACAATAGAAGATTTTCTGCAATGCAATAACAACTTCATGCCTATAAGGTACTCTTACTCGGACATCAAGAAAATGACTCGCAGGTTCAAGGACAAGTTGGGCGAAGGTGGCTTTGGCTCTGTATTTAAAGGAAAGCTACGCAGTGGCCGTTTTGTAGCAGTTAAAGTCTTGGGCAAGCCCAAAGCTAATGGCCAAGATTTTATTAGCGAAATAGCTACGATCGGAAGGATTCACCATGCTAATGTGGTGCGACTTGTTGGATACTGTGTCGAGGGATCAAAGCGCGCTCTAGTATATGACTTCATGCCTAATGGCTCCCTTGATAAATACATTTATTCCAAAGAAGGAAGTCTTCCCTTAACTATCAAGACTATGTATGAGATTTCTCTTGGAGTGGCGCAAGGGATTGAATATCTACATCAAGGTTGCGAAATGCAAATTCTACATTTCGACATCAAGCCTCATAACATCCTTCTTGATGAGAACTTTATAGCAAAGGTTTCTGACTTTGGGCTTGCAAAATTGTATCCGGTAGATACTAGCATTGTCTCTTTGACGGCAGCACGGGGTATAATGGGCTATATTGCTCCTGAGTTGTTCTACAAAAATATTGGAGGTGTCTCGTACAAGGCCGATGTCTATAGTTTTGGAATGTTGTTGATGGAAATGGCAAGCAGAAGGAAGAATTTGAATGCAACGGTAGAGCATTCAAGCCAAATCTACTTCCCAATGTGGGTATACGATCAGTACATTGTGGGAAATGACTTGGAAATGGACAATGTTACAGAGGAGGAAAAGAAAGTAATAAGAAAGATGGTTATAACCGCCTTGTGGTGTATTCAAATGAAGCCAAGTGATCGCCCTTCGATGTCCAAAGTTGTCGAAATGCTTGGAGGAGATGTTGAATGTCTGCAAATGCCTCTCAGGCCTTCTTTATGCCCACAAGAGACGCCTGTGACTGTGGGTGATATTCAAGACAATGAATTGAACCCAATATGTTCTAACGTGGAGCTAACATGTTCATTGTCAGCTAGGTGATAATCAAATGGTTAAGGAAGTGCAGTAATGTATTATTAATTAAATTCTTGCTTTAAAGTGATTTGGTGAATAATTGTCGTCTGTAATTGTTTGGCTTGGATTCATCTAAGAATGACTTGTGTTGGTGCGTATACATATACATTCTTACTTTAGTCTCAAGAAAGGTATGGAATTGGCACTGTGGAAATGGATGGTGTTTCAATCCGAATTTCAGATTAATTACAACCATGCCATTGATTTTTCTGTTGGTTTTGGGTCAGCAGCCCGGCACTCAGCGAGGCCCAAATGTGTTGGTTATGGCTGGGAAGCCCGGCACTCAGCGAGGCCCAAATGTGTTGGTTATGGCTGGGAAGCCCGGCACTCAGCGAGGCTCAAATGTGTTGGTTATGGCTGGGAAGCCCGGCCCTCAGTGAGGCCCAAAATATTTAACTACATTTTTGCCCATCTAAGATTACAATCCAATGGTGGGGATGGTCTATTACGAAGGGTAATTTTGTCCTCTCGATTTTGGGCAAGATAGGGGGTCACCGGGTAGGTATCATTTGCTGTCGTTCAATTAGGGTTTCGGGGAGGGTCTGCGAGAGAGAGAGAGAGAGAGAGAGAGAGAGAGAGAGAGATGGCGATGGAAGGAGAGCGAGGGGGAGGGGTAGGGGGTCTCGGCACTGTTGCTGCAGATGGGAGGGTCGGTATGGTCAGAGAAGACCGTATTGGTCGTCGGGATTTCAGGGAGAAGGGGTAGGGGTCATCAACAAACCCTACTGAGGTTGGGGTGTGCCGGATCTTGCGCTGCATGCCTCAAATCCAAAGACAAGTTCCTTTTTTAAATTGTTTTCTTTAATGGTGGCTTAGATTTTCTAATTGTTTAGTATGTTAGGCCCGGTTTTGGGGGATTTGTGATTTTATAGAGAGAGATGGATAGGGAGATAAAGATTGACAGAGGGAGGAGAAAGCATGGCTGTGTGCATTTTTTTGGGGTTAATTAATGGGTTAGTGCGCAGGGTCAGTGAGGAGAGTGACAGAGGGGTGCATTTTTAAATTGTTAAAACCATATTTCGAATTTTTTGGTTTCACTGTGCTCATTTTTGTGCTTCTTGATAATTTCCTGGTGTTTGCTTCTCATCGCTCTGTTGGTAGATTTTTTTCCCCATTTCTTGGTTCCTTATGTATTCCTTGGTACAAATCTGTCTAATTTTTGGCTGTGTGATGATCCTTGCAGGTGAGCTATATGAACGTTGTTTTGAAACACAGAGCTTGATCCCCTCGAATCTGCAATTCATAGCAGCAGGTTCATCCTCATCCTTTCACTATTATCTGCTTAAAGCGAAACATTTTTATTATGGCCTTGGTTGCTTGACATTTTTAGGCATATAATTTGCTATACTTTTGTTTTGGTTTCTTCAGTTAGATGTAATGTCACCCAACATAGTATAATAGACGGAATCACCATCTCTGTTCTCTTCAAGATAATTTTATTTCGTAACCCAACTTGGCAAATGATATAGTTTGTTGAAGAGAGAAAGCAAGCTCTGTTTGCAGTAGTATTAATAAGTCAGATCTCCTATTTTCCTGCAAATGAATAGACTTAATGCAATCCTCGGTCAAATCATTTATCACATTCAGACAAGTTCCCAATTATTTTTGCATATGAAGAAGACCATCTTCACTTACACCGGATTTATCTGCAAACTGAATTTTGATTACCCCGAACTTATTAATAAAGAAGCCACTGTTTTAATCAAATTTGGCATAATCTTTAACATGAATATAGAAGGAAAGAAGCAAAATAGGCCTCGAATGGATGTATATGTGTAGAAATTATGTTGGAAGGTTAGTTAAACTTAGGCTTATTCTCAAGTGTAGTATAAATCCTTGGGTTATTTGGATTTCAGTGTTTATCAAACTTTGCCTTGCTTATGTATTGATCTCATAACTGTCGCTTTTGTACAACAACCCAAATATGGAATCTGCCATCTGGATTCTATATGGAAGTTGTGAAGCTTTTTTCCCCCAAAATTTTGGTCTTTGTGTTTGTATGTTGGTTTAAAACAAATAAGAAGTTTTCATATTGGTATTTTGCTTTTGTTCCTAAACAATGACAATTTTTTACTTCTGAAATGGGTTATCACCTTATCATGTGCCAGTGCCCTGTTATGATGGTGCTCATTGCTCTAGGAAAATTGGGAGGGGAAATTTTCATATGCTTTGTGGAATCTTTGATGCAATTAGCATTTTAAATTTGACTCCTCCCATTAGTTTTTTTCTTTCTGACAAATTCTGTTGTGATCTATGTGTGTTGCTGATGAAAGAAGATAAAGGTTTAGCCATGTTCCTTAATGGTCCCTGAAACTCATGGGTACTTTCACTTGCTATGCATACGGTGATAATTGTGGCTGATGCTGTTATGATTCATAACTAGGCAATTTCCACTCATATTTCCTTTGGTTGTGTCATGATTTTCTTTTGTCCTAACTTCACTTGCCATCATATGTTCAGGCTTGGGTGACCCTTGGTAGAGCACAGTTAAACTTTGGGGAGGCTGATAGTGCCATTCAAAGCTTCGACAGAGCATTAGCCATCAAGGTATTGTTTCACCTTTCAAGAAATTATAATCTGTACTTCTCAAAGCTTCTTACGCTGTTTTCTGATGCGTCTTTGAGCCACTGACCTTAGGTGGAGTCTGATACTGCAATATTATTTGCTAATCTAATAAACCCTGCAGCTTATTCGTCTTCGTCGTGAGTAAAATAACATGACAGAAAGGAGCAGTAACCGGCTCGCCCATTCCCTTGATGATCGTTATAATCTTCGTTTTCTTAGTCTCCTCTATGCCCTCATCGAGACAGTTCTCAAACCTGTTCCCATATGTGTATTGTTAAGTTGCTAATTTATAGATTAACCTGCTGTCATTCTGTGCTTGAAGTCAGGCATATGTTTAGACTTCCAAATTTGATGCCTTAGTAGCTTCAGTGCTTGCCTTAAAATTACTATAGGCATAACTGTTACAGTTCAAATGTATGAAGGTTTTTTCCAAGGCATTTGTGATAGACTGCTGTACTTTAATCTTCTCCTAGGTCCCCAATTACAACAAAAATCAAAATTGCATAAATATTAAGAACACAATGAAACTGAGAAAATTATATGGTTCTAAAGTGATATAAACTGTAAATGGAGAAAATACAGATGCATGTATTGGTGCATCAGATGTACAGATTAGGACCGATTCTCTGTGATTAAAGTCTGGAAAAATACAGTGAAAAAGATGCAACTTTTTTATGGGATTGACTATTTTCGGCTTAGTTTTGGCTAAGAAATAATTAGAGTGTACTTATTAAATTGAGTTAACAAATTTGCAGGATGCAACAGAACACATGGGAGAAGTTTTGAAACGAGTTAAGAAGATCCAGCTGAAAAGAGCATACAAGATAGGGAATTGGTATGCTGCTTTGTCTCTGTGTTGGATTTTTATGTTTATGTTCTGCTGCTAAGTAGAGTTTATAGTGTTCTAAATCTGTTTTGAAAATGTGCTTAAAGATTGGACATGTTATTGTATATTAGCCATGTAGTTTATAATTATCTGTGGACTTGAATAGTATTATCTAAAGCTCTCTCACTACTCAGTTGTATCTATATAGTAAGAAATTGTTGTGTAGGTGAACTACAAACCTCAAATTCCCTCCGTCTGTATATTTGCAGTTGCTTTTCCGTATAAATATTCTCTTGCAAAGAAATTCAAAGGCCTCTAATTGTATTCATGGACTATAACTGTAATTATACAATGTACATTATTATTTAAATATAAAAAGGTATAATTTATATATAAAGTCAATTTAAACTCTTTTTGCTTTGAGAAAGGGAACTGGTAAGGGAGGTATGGGTATGGGTTTTTAGGGCTGGTTTCTAGGGAGGTGGTCTGGTATCAGTGCCTTCACATGGTGGGGGGGTGTGATATGGGGGAGAGAGGAGAGGGGGTTGGTTGCAGAGAATGGGGGTGTGATTTGGGGGAGATAGGAGAGGGGGTTGGTTGCAGAGAGAAGGTGACGGCGGGTGCACGATTAGGGGGACAGAAAGAGAGTTGATTGGGTACAAGATTTGAGGGTAGGGTTGAGGGAATGAGTGTGTTGGCTGCAGAGAGATGGTGGGGTTGAGTTAGTATTTCTCCCTTTCTGTTGCTTCTCTCTTCCTCCATCTATGACAACTTTGTTTTGGGGTCAAAATATGTTCGCTTTTACATAGAAATTTGAGTGTTTTATTTATTTATTTGGGTTTTTATAGCTGATGCATATTATGTTTTGTGTTTCTGGGTTTTATCACTAATTGTCAATTGGATTTTCTGGTTTCAAAAATAGGTGGAGGCTTCGACTAATCAGCTGGCTGATCAGCAGATGCCAGTGTATAATCTTGCATCGAAGATTCTTTGTCGGGTTATCAATGTATCATTGAAGGTAGTGTGGTGGCTGCTCTTATAAAGAATTCTAAGAATTCTGGATTTAATTGTTTAGCTGCTTCTTTTGTACTCAAGTTATTGGGCTTTGCGAGGGAATAATATGTTTCTTTCTGCTGAATTATAGGCTGAACCAGACACTGATGAAGTATTTGCACAAGTAACTTTACTTCCCGAATCAAATGTAAGTTGTTGGCTTGAGGATTCTGATTTATTGTGGGCGGGTAAAACTGATTATGGGTTGAGATTCGGATGGTTTGATGTTATAAATTTTAGCAAGATGACAATGCAGAGGAGAAGGAAAAAACATAGGGCACGCGTCCTTAAATGGGAAAACACTTTGGTTAGGCAAAGCCAAATTAAGGAAGAGAATAGGTAGAGGCTAAAACATAATCAAGTGGAAATTTTAGGTACAAAATGTGGAGTGAGTCAAGAAATTATACAATGGTGTCCAACTGCTTTCCACCACGGCCACTTTAAAAGGCTTAGTTCTTTTTCCAAGTGAAGAAATAAAATGGCACTTGAATCATAGAAATATTAACATCTATACTCAATTTAAAAAAACTTCATATTTGAAAGTTAAAAAAACACATCAGCACACACTTGGAAATAGTTGGAAATATTGGCAAACCTCACAATATATATGCACGCTTTAGCGATATTTATAATGAGGATATTTATATAAGCAAACCTCACTTATGCCCTGTACACATTCTACTGTTTAAGTAATGAAGAAAACTATTCTCAATGTCTCTAGCTATTCATTTATTATCTTCAATGATTTGGAAACCTGCTACTATAGTTTTCAGAGTGGTTATGTCACACTCTGCTATTCTTCCTGTAAAAATGGGGAAGGTTTGCATGGCTGTCACTCTTCCAACAGGTCAGTGGGTCTCTGGTTAGAACTTCAGTCTACAAGGTTTGTGGCTGATCAGAAGCTGCCTTATTTGGATTTTGCTGGTAAGCATGAAATTATATATATATATATATATGTATGTATGTATGTATTTATATTCATTAAGTTTATATAATTACATGGGTGTTCTTTGAGTGCTATGTACATATATTTCCTAAAAGAAACTGAATTCTCACACTATTTTCTTATTCTGCACCTTTGTTGAATTTTTGTCCCTTGATTTCTATTTTTTTTTTATTCAATTCAAATGACCAAAATAAACACGAGTGTATATGGAGAATAATGAGTATGCGGAAATCAGTATAATTTGCTAAAATGTTTATCTTTATAGCTCATGGTATATATGAGTTTTGTTGTTGTTGCTTTCTTGCCTTTGCACATTCTGCTCTGAAATTTATAAATACATAGAATATTGTAATTGAAAGAAAAATAACTTTGGACCGAATTCTACATGCTCAATTTGACAGGAAGAAGGTTTCGAATCGGATGATTGGAAGACAAAAAGGTTATAATTGTTATGACTGGATTGAGCATGGTATGTTTAATTATGCAGATGACCATCTGTTTTACTTTGATTAATTTCTTTGGTCAGTGCATATCATAGATAATGTATTAATAAATGATGTAGAAACAGTGTCCAGCTTCAATACTACAAGTGTATTATCCGTTAGATTCGACTTTCAAATTATTAAATTTTTTAGTGTAAATCTGAACGGTTTATTTCCCGTATCATTCAATATTATGGAAGTATTTTCTGTAGAAACCTGCTGGAAAAAAAATTGATGTAGAAACCTGTGAAAAGCTCAATGCAGGCATCCCAAATCAATTACTACAAACCCTATTCAAGGTGAAGGGTGTTGTACACTATGGAATTGCAGGAAATGCAGATCCCCAACTCGAAATTGGAGATGTCACCATCCCTCAATTTTGGGCTCATACAGGCCTTTGGAATTGGCAGGTATAAAACACTAATTTTCTTTAGAAAATTGGCTTTTGTTTGGTAATCTTTTTTTTAATCCCAATTAATTGAATATCCAATTATGGAAAAATGTATTCGTACCAAACCCCATTCCAATTGAGCGGTTGGTGTATTTGTTCCATACAACATTTGAATTGGATGATTGGTTTATTTGTTCCAAACCCCAATATAATAGTATTTGTATTTCTGCCCATTTATGGATGATTGGTGTAGCTGCTATGATTGTCAGATTGTGTATGTTGGTTATTTCTTAACTGAGCAAATAAAGTCAGCAAAAAAGTAGATGCTATGTCAGTGTATGTCAATGGGGAAGTGTAGCTATGAAATATATGATTACATTGATCATGGATGATGCATATAACAGAGTCCTAACTGAGCAATTTATGTTGGTGACTCAGTGTAGATGCTAAATACTAATGGGTGAATAATGAATGTTTCGCTGAGTAGCATGTTATTACCAATCTTGGTAGATTTACAAAGCATATGAGAGAATTCGTATGAATTTTGCACTGGTGGCTGAAGAAAAATCAACAAGCTAGCTTACTCATTTAACCATTTACATGCATTTGATCACAGATATTGAGAAACCTTAGAGTTAATTATCTGTAACAATAAATGTTAATTATTCAAGCTTGATTTCTTGGCAATGGCTTCCTTCGTTAACCTCTACAACTACGTCTCTCTTCACTTTCCCACTTCCTCCGGTCTCTCTTTCTCTTTCTAATCTCTACTGAGTTTCTTTCAATCTGTCAATTTATATAGTTTATACTTTGATGTGATATTTGGTGCATTTGATTTGGTTTTGTGAATGTCTTCCTGACTTTTCCGCTTTGGATTAAAATAATAAGTTCAATGGTTGTATATATAACAGAATACTGATTTGCGAACAAGGCAATTCAAAGCTTGAAAATTTGTATATTATGCTAAGCTGACTACCTTTTTTCCCCGCTTTTTCGACTTTGAGCAATTGCAGTATTTTAGCCCAACTTGCTAAAATTTTTGTTTATTTTTAAACGAATTCTATATTAATTTACTTGGAAATGTTATATGAATTTGGTATAAACTTGAATAGAACTTATATCTGCAGGTTGAATGTGTCCTTTGCCAACTATTTTTTGGTATAAGAAAAAGATTACATTATATGCACACGATATTGTTTCAATATTCTACTTTTGCCTGCAATTTTGTTCTCTCTAGGACATTAAAGAGCAGTTTTGGTTTTTAAGTTTCACCACCAAATACCAACTGTTTGATTGTGATCTCTCTGTGAGATTGGATATATGATTTAAAAATTCTGTTAATAAATGTTAATTGTGATTCAAAAAATAGACTACGCGTCACCTGATCAAAAAACAGAAACTGCATGTGTATGATAGGAAGTGGAGAGCAATCTGTCTCAGTTTTGGATACTGGAATCAAAGAAGCTAACTCAAGGTGCTAACTTTGAATTTTCCTGAAATATCTCCTCTTTTTTTTGGATTAATTATTTTAGACGTAGGAAATCTCTATGTTTTATCTGGTAGTTGAAAATATAAATTTGGGACTTGTGCCATTTAGTTATTTGGGAGTTTGAATTTATAAATGTAGATTTGTGTTTGTTTGCCCAGCTGTTGTTTCAAAGCTGGAGGAGGCATTGTGGATTAATAATAGGAAATATGATGCTTTGTGGTGCTGGGAATGAGGCAAAGGTTCCAAAAGGTGTTGCAGTGCTTCCTAAAGGCTTTCAATGAGGTACTTCCACTTACAAATCTCAAAGACGCTACATTTTTTTTTACCTTTCGATGTGTAATAAGGAGGGTTGTGAGATTGACTGCATAATTTGTAATTTGGGTTTAGTGACTTATAAAATTGCAATTTCAAAGATCTTAAATTACAGTTTAGTTATCCATTTTTGAAATTCCTGTGCATAGTAATTGATAAATGTAATGCTATTAGAAAATTGTTATTACTGTAATGGTGCAGTGCATACTATGTATTTGCTTAGCTTAATTATTTTAAATTAGGGGTGGTTGAAAGTTGGAATTTTATTCATGCAGTTTGTGCAGAGAAGAGTATCTCATTACCAGGAACTCAATCCAACAGAAAATTTACTACTCTTAAAAGCATTTTGTGAACTCCAAGCTCAAGTCAATCCTTAATTTTCATCTACTTTTTATTTCTCTATGTCTAGGTGATTTACATGGTTTGTAACCATTAAATCACCCAACTTTATATTTACAATTGTGTTTCTGATTGTTGATGTCAATTAAAATACTATTATTCAGGTTATTAGATTTTATGCTATATGTTAACATATTCATTTTAATAATTACCACTTGCTTTGATGCATAGAAAATGCTAATTCTATGGCAAGAAAATAGTCTTATTTCCTGTTTAATAAAACTCATAATTAGAGAAACTGTTTGAAGAGAATGATACATAATTATTCATGCAATTTGTAATCCCGCAGCAACGTGCGGGCATTACTAGCTAGTTATATATACTAGAACTCAGTTGAGTTTTAGCACTGTTCAGCAATAGTAAAAGGGTGGAAATGCCCTTGATTTGTTTGGGGTTTAGGTGCTGCTGAATTGCTTTGTATAGCTAAATGTCATTTTTGCCCAACTAGGTGGGCTGTCTTCAGCTGCCCGAAAAGTCCTTCGCCTTTTTTTATCTCGCCTGTTGCAGGGATAAGGTGAGAATTGACCGTGCCACGTGTTGGTGATCGTGTTGGGTACTTTTTGGGGTTTATTTTACTTCCTTTTCCTTTTGGTTTGTTTCTCTCGCCGTTCTCATCAATTTTCTACCTATCTCAAACTGCTCTCTCATCTTTTCATCTCTCTCCCAAATTATCTGTGTGAAATCAGTGAGCCTGTTTTTGGTTGCTGGAAAAAAGTTTGGTTGTTACAAATTTCTTGCGTTCAAAATCCCTCAATCGCTACGAATTTTGTTCCTCTTTTTGGATTTCAGAATCAATGTTTTGGGTCAGAGGTCTACAGTTACTGGGTGAGTTTACTTTTTGGGTATCGTTGTTTTAAATTTTTCTTGGTGGTTTTCGATGCTCAGATGTTTTTGCATATGAATTTTGGATGGTTTTTGTATATGAATTTTGTTTTTATAATATTAGGTATTTTGTTTCTATGCTTAGATTTTAATCTTTTTCGAGGTCAAATATTTAATTACATCATGTCATGGGTTTTGTATGGGTTCAATTGGCAGTTTTGATTTTCTTTCTATTTTTTTTCCATTCCACTGCTGTCTCTCAATTTGTGTTGCCTCTCTGATTCTGGCTTTGTCCGCGTGTGTCAAAGGATAGAAACCGGCTGAAGTTAAATTTCTGCGGCTTGGTTCTGCTCCTTGGGTCGCTGCCCTGGAGATTAAATTATCAAAATTTGGTGTTTCCACGTTGCCGATTCCAAGTGGTTGTTGCTGAGAGGATCAAATTGGTGAGTTTCGAAATAAAAACCTTTTTTCCTAATTGATTTCCTTGCTTTTGCCGATTATTGTTGGCTTTAATGCATGTTGATTTTTTATTTTCAATAATTTTGCTTATGTGGTTTGCGATTTTTGTTCTTCATTTTGTTCAGATTTTGAGGTTTTGATTTTGTTGTTTTTAGGTTTTTTTGCTTTCGTATTTTTGAGTGAGTTATTTGTGATCATTTTGCATTTATCAAAATTCAACTAGGGGAAATTGGTCTCTGTGTTGTGCCAAATCTTTACAGATTACATTTGGCTTAGTTTTGTGGATTTTATTTGGTCTGTGTAGCTATTTTTTGCCTGATTTTTCTTAATCTTATATGCTTGGGTTATAAATTGTGGCTTTCCAGTATTTTGATTTTGTGGTCTTTAACTAATACACAATTTGCTCTGAGGTAGAAGGAAAAGAAAATCAAGTATACGAATGAGTTAGAAAGTAAGGTGTGACTATTTCGAAGCACCTGTGATGCTGCTGTTATATTTTGGGTACGTTTTCTGTCCTTCTGCTTTTTTCCAGTTTGGAGATGCACTGATAATTGTTGGATTAATATGGATTTGTATTTTTTGGGAAGAAATGAGAGGAGTCGTTGGAATTTTAGAAAGCTTTGTGTTTCTGCCTTTTATGTGACAGAGGGAATACGGACAGGGAGTGGAAGACAGAAAACATTAGTTTAGATTGCAATTTTAAAAGTTTTTATGTTGTTAATGCTGGAACCTATGTAAAGTTATTAGGATTTTGGAAAGCTTTGTCTTTCTCAGTTTTATCTGCCGGAGGGAACACAACTCTTACATATATGATTTCAAGTTGTCCCCCTAGAAATTCAAGCTCTGTTGAATACATGAGGTGTAAGAAACTGTTTGGGATATTTTCAAGTTTTTCTGATTCCTGAAAAAAAAGCATGCTTAAGAGTAATTATATTTTAATTTTTATTGAATTCAGGTAACCATCTTTAGATTTTTTTGCTTTGATTTGAAGAATTCCTTACCCTGGAAAGCCAGGGCTTCCTGATGAGTTCTTTGGGTTCCATATCTGGCGTCTTTGTTTTGTTCAAATTTGGGGCGTTTGTGATTTGGGATTTATATACTGTCTTATCAACTCTTAATGTTGAATTAAGATTTGTGATTTGGGGCGTTTGTAGATGCGGGTGGTATAAATTTTTACTTAAAAAATTGAACTTGAAATGAAAACCCAGGTGAAAAAGCATGGAAACAACTCTTGCGTAGAAATGACTTTGGGAATGAATTTTCTTGACATTTGATCCCGGCTATTTGATAAGAGTCAGGTTTTATAACTCAAAAATTTTAGGAGGCATCGTCAAGTTTTCTCCTCCTCCGAACCACCGTTTTCATGGAAGGACGATCCATCGAGTGTCACTGGATGCATCCGAGCCCTAAAATTGCAAGTTGCTTTAGAATCTTACCATCCTCTTCTTCCTCAATATGGATTCGCTGGTCATCTCCTTCCTCTATCAGATTATAAATCCATTTTGGATGGTTGATTTCATATGTCGTGTCCTCTGTGGTTGAACCAATATTCTTCTTTCCTCCTATCATCTCAAGCAGCAGCATTCAAGACATCTGCCTTGTAAGACACATTTCGAAAATTCCAAGCTCTTCCCCGTCGCCCTTGGAATTCTTATTTACTTTCGTTTTATCAGCGATATAGGCATGATATGCCACAATGATCAGCAGTAACAGAACAAATGAACGCAGGGTTGCTCCTGCAAATGGATAGATACTATCCACCAGTAAACATTTATTCTCGAGTGTCCTTTGGACATGAAACAAAGCTAAACACCAGTCCTACACAACTCACCCTTGCAAACGTCTTTGTTTTGCCTGCAAAGGATTGTTGCGAAAATTACTGTCATTTCTCAAAACTAGTCAATATCGTTACCACAAATCTAAGCCGCTAATTACATGAAAGCAGAAAAATCAGAGCATGTAGCAGAGTTGCTGATCATCATCATTAAAAACATCATGAGCAGAATAGATGCGAAATAAGATTTAGACGCGTTATCCTTACTTGGTTTCCTCCCGTCAACAAATTCAATTTCGCTCTTGGTGCCATTGTTCTTCAATCTACACCTCTTGCCCTCTGCTTGATACAATTTGGTTTAGACCATTTGAAATGAAGAGTTTTAATTGCATTTATTTTTCCAGAGGCAATGAGCAATGGAATAAGGTAACGTTTTATTTACCAAAATGCCTCTTCTTTTTCCAATGATATTTTTGGGCCGGGGGTCTGGGTTAGGCCCTTTAGGCCGTGTATTTGTTTGGGTTGTGTACATTTGGGCTGTTAAATAGTGGGTTTTAGTCTGAAAAGGACTTTATTACCCATTTTAATTTGAGATCTAAAGGCAGAAAATAAAAGTTGGATGGGCATTATTGTCAGTTTACGTTTAGGAGGGGTGGGTGTGGCTATCGAAGGAAATTGGTTGGATTCGGTGAGGGAGGCTTATAGGGAGGATAAGTCCATGAAATCCATGGAATCGGTGACGGAGGCTTACTGAGAGTTGGTTGGATTGTGTGATGCGGTCAGGGGAAATTACAGAGAGGGAAATAGAAAGGGAGGAAGGGGTATGATGAGTAGATTTTATATTATATATTTATCTCTATTCTTAGTATATTTTTATTATTATTTTTGAAGAATTTTGATATTTTGAATTGTATTTTCAATATAGGATTTTCGATTTCCTTTGGAGCAAAACATGATCAAATGGATAAATTTTGGAGTAATTCCAGTTGGAGGACGTTCGTGAGTCACTTGGCTTGATTGTGTCAAAATTTGGAATTTTTCTACCAATTGGTGATTTTCTGGCGATAGAATAAAGGAGCAGTGCACTGGCAAAGTGACGTTTTGGGCTTGAATTGCGTTTTTGGAGCCCAAAATGACCTTTGATGGGTTCGTGGCCCTCTGGAGATGTGTTCAAAGCATCCCGATCTTTAAAACAAGCTATGATGGGCTGGATTTGGAGGATATTTGAGGGTAAAATGTGGTTGGACAGTTACTTGGTAGATTCTCCTAACTTAATTAGGACTTTATTTTTTAAGATATTTTATTATTATTTAGTTTCCTAGTGGGAATAAAAGATTTTGTTTTCTACGGATTGTGCGATGGTTTTTGGGGGATATTTAAGGTTTTCCGCCGGCCCTCGTCTATTTATCTTCTCTTTTATGCGACTTTAGAGACAGAGAGAAATTGGCTAGGGTTCTTAAAGATTTTCAGATTTTTATTTTAAAGTGTTTTCATTCTTTTTCTTCATAATAATAATATTTTCTATGATTTTAATTATGAATATGCGTAACTAATTTGTTTGCTAGGGCGAAGCCTTAAGCCTTAGCATAAATATGTAATTTTTATTTAATTGCTTATGATTGATTGCATGCACGCTTTGAATTATTGATCACCGTTTTAAATTGCCTAATTATCTTAATGCTTGATCACATTAGGATATTTAGAAAAGTAATTTGATGCAATTTTGGTCGGAAGGTTCCTTGAAATTGGCGTTGACTTCTTGTGGTTAATAATTGTAATTTCACTTAGAATGAACACCACATCTTAAGGGTTGCATGGTTTTTCAAAGGGTTTTCATAAAACATAATGAGTTTCTCATGTTCATATTTGATCCGAATGTCCAAACAGATTGCATGTTAGATATACGTTCTATGTTGGAGGTTCCAAGTAGAATCTCTACTAATTAATGAAACCTTCTTTGTCAACCAAAAGAGGGTGAAAAGACAACTTAGTTTTCTATCACACAAAAAAAATGATGGGCAATAATGTAATTTCACAGGTCCAAATTTTATTGTTTTTTATTGAAACCTCACCTATAGATGATGTTAAAATATCTTCAATATTATAAATTTAAAAAATAAAAAAATAAAAAACCTCCCACTCCCTCCCCCCACGTTCTCTCTCTCCCTCTCTCCTTCTCATTTTCTAAAAAAATGTGTTCATACACACAAAGTGTGTAGGCAAATGCTTGTATATATTAGGAAAACCTAACTTTCAAAGTGGCACGTGTAGATCATAAGTAATTGGTAAAAATACATAGAATTGTTAGATGATTGTGGAACCTTAGTGCTTTTATAAATTGGTATTTACAACTCTTTTCTTTTATCGCATTAGTTTTGGGGAATTTACTATAATTTTTAATTAAAATTCGTTTTTAATATTACCCAAATTCAAAATCTCCTTTCTCAATTTTTAATTTTAAGTAATTAAATATGAATTGTTTATACATAAATTATTAAAATAGTTCATGTGTAGAACGACCTTGTATGAGCATCTATACTACAACATCCTTATACTCTTGCAAGTATTTTGTGTGATTTTAATCCTGTTTGTGTAGGTTCTAAAAATCCTATCAGGGCATTTGGTGGATGGTTACAAAGAGAGAATCGGTGAGGGCTTTACTGTATTCAAATTAGCCTTATTCCTTCGCTAGAAAATTATGATCTCACAAATGCCTCTAATCATTCATCTGAGAGGCAAGCTGTTCCCCTTAAGGATGAATTGTTATCCAAAGAACTGTCTGGTGAACCGTCCATTGGGAAAGAAGATCTACACTATGACTAGCTTATTCGTCAGTTAAAACACTTCCATCTTTGCTCCAAATGTTTGCCCGACGACTGATGTATTAACCTACAAACTCTAGCCGTCCTGTAAATCTATTCAGTCAACCCAGTTTGTTGACTAATTTTGCCCTACTAAACTTGTATTCTGTCGGTTAAAAAAGGTGAAACCGACGAAATCTTCTCTGTCGAGCAACACTTGACAGGGCAAGCCATAAATTCTAGTAGTGCAAGTTTAGATGAATCCAATAACTAAAGGATTTAGCAAGTTTAGATGTATATTTCCTGTCTTTGGGGTTTCTGATAAATGATTGTACTTTACAGATGAATTGTACGTCTCATCTGTGTTGATTAAGATCTCCCCCTGTTTTTCGTGGCATTGAACTGCTAATCCTTTTCTGTGGTGGTTTCTGTATACTCCAGTACAATTCGTTTCTTTTAGGACTGATTTGAATGCGATTGATTTTGTTCAGTAACTTTCAAATTTCATGTGTTTTGTTCATTTCATTTAACTTTTTAAGATTTTATTTTTTGTAAATGCTAATCTTATCATATTTTTCATACCATAATTGTATCACTTTTTTAACAGAGATGAAACATATATGTGTTGATGAGCCTTACTTTTATAAACTGATGGTACAAATATGGTAAGTGCAATATTACTCTTTAGTAGAGTAATGTTGGAGATACCGCATATTTATACCACATTGATGTACCATATAATGTGACAAGTAATAGATATAACCAACAATCTAACATTTAATGAGATAAACTCATTACAAGACGCGGTATGTACACATCCATATCACAATATGGTACAACAATGTAATATAAACATGTAATCTCTCTAGTATTTTGCTTATTTTTTATTTATATTTGTTAATAGAAACAATATTGTTGAACCTTAAGAAGGATTACACTCAACATCATGCGGGTGAACATATTGAATGCTGAGCAGGCTCCTCGTATAATGCTACATAACTACCAAATATGGGTAAATTCCAGCTCCTGCCCATGGAAGCCCATACTTTGCTTGCACATGAGCTACTTAATGAATTGGAATTAATTGTGGGCTCTTCTAGGTCTTTCTAATATTGTTTACTAATTGTTGCGGCATATCAAGTGACTTTGCATAAAAACTTTCATAACATTGTGTTTGGGCCCAAAATACTATGGTTAGGCCGAGCAGCAAGATGTGCTCGGCCCAAGGTGATGACAAATACTATGGGCCGAATAATGAAACCCGGGCCAGCTGGCAGGGTCGGCCAAATCCTATCCTAAGTAGTCCAGATGAATAGAAAAGGTCGAGGAAGTCCTGGTGCGACCAGGAGTCTCGACCGGCAAGGAATGGAGTCTCGAAAAGAAGGAAAATTCAGAACCCCAGTGGGAGTAGGTTTGTTCGAGTTAGAGTCAAAATGGGACAAGGTCTCCCAATCCAAATCAGAATTGGTTTCAAGGAATGGGGTACTATAAATACAAGAAATCATGCAACAGAAAAGGCCCCTTCAAAATCAGCATACAATTGCCCTGCGCAAAACGTCTCAAACACCTTGAGATTTTTTTCCTTTTCTTTTCCTACCGACACACCTTCAGTTTGGATAAACAGCACTGTGGAAGCACCCGGCGAACACCTTCAGTTTGGATAAACAACACTGCTGCCGCAGAATCAGCCGACCGAGGAGCACCTTCAGTTTAGATAAACAGCACTGCGTCGAGGTCGACCGATTATCTATCTAAGTCTCGGCCGAGAAGGGTTTTCGAACCCTTGTTGGTAGAGGTCATCTTACTAGCCTTTTCGGCATAGTTGGGTGTTACGAATTGCATTGCTTGGCGCATTAGACGCCGAGTGATTTTATGATTGGATACTCGTAAGTAAGTTTCAGGGTTCGGCATTCCAACGGCCGAACTACGTTTACCATCAAGACATATATCACATTCGAGTACCTGTGCCCGTATAGTTTGGTCTCGATTCGGCGTGCTTATACTCTTACGAATATAATCACAGTGACCGAATCAGGCTCCGACGATTTGTGAACTCCGTAGAATTAGCAGCCTTGTCTTCAGGCTATAGAACCCAGAGACCGAGAGCGTTCCTTCCTCGGTCGCAATCGCAAGATACAGAAGTCAACAGCGCGCTCAACGAGACATCATCAAATCTTACCCCTCGGCCGAGCTCGGCCGACGAGTTGGCACGCCCCGCATTCAACCGAAGGACATAGTTAGCTTATTTGTTACTCGGCCTGCGCGCCACGTAGGTTTTGTAATTTTTAGAGTCAACACATTGACACGGTTATAAGATTGTGTGTCGTTAATTGTCAATCATGCAACGCAATATGTAAATTCTTTTTACATAATGTTTGTATGATTGGCACGAGAAACTACGTGTGCCATAGAAGTTGGTCTTGAAGGAAAAAATTGATAAGCTAAGTTCATTAGAGCAACACTCATACATGTAATTAACAATTAAAGGCTCTAGCATGCTTATATACACTCAAAAATAAAACTTAACTCATGAAATTTAGAGCCTAGTAATTGTTAGTCAAATACTCAACTCAAATTCAAAACAAAAAGAGTTGACTTTATACTTTTCTAGATCCTCAAGGATAATCACCTAAAGTGAGGTTCTCATTCCTTTTGCTCATAGCTTCTTTTATCCATTAATATGGATAAACTCTTGCTTCTTGGCTCCATAGATCCATGTTTTGGATGGTTGAAAGGATTCTCCAAAGCAACTAAAGTAGGAGGCTTTTATTTTTCGGAGTAAATTGTAGCACTGGTCTCTTAACTTTAATCCAATTGGAGCAATGATCTCTCACTTAAAAATTCATTATCATTGGCCCCTCAACTCAGCATAACGTGCAGCTATAGTCATTTTGGTCAACTCCATTAGAACTTCCGTTAAAATGAGCCACATGTCATGCACGTGAGGTTAAATCAAGGGCCAAATAAGAAAAATTGTATTAATGATCCCTCAACTTTGATCCAACTAGAGAAATTATCCCTCAACTTTAACCCAATTGGAACAATGGTGAATGGTCCCTATCTTTAACCCAACTGTGACAATGATCATTCCAACATAACTCATTTTGACAAAATTTTGAGAGAGTTGACGAAAATGATCATAACTACATATTTTAATGAATTGATGAACTAATGAGAATATTTAGTTAAAAAATTATTATTTCAATTTAATTAAAATTAAAAGAACATTGCTACCATTTATTATATTTTTCAACGCCAAAAATGAATGACAAAGAAGATGAGTGTCCATCCCGCTCACAAATTTGATTCCCGTGAAATATGTTGCATATTTGTTGGCTATCTTGGTAAAAAAGTCTATGCGCTTTATAATTTGGTCAAAAAGGCTATCCTGCCAGCCTGGTGGATCAACCACAGCAGCCCACACGGTCTGCCACGTCCCTTGCCCTCACGTCACCCTCACGCCCGCCTCTACCTTCCACGCAATCTCTTGCGTCCCCAACCCCATTTCCTTCCAACAGCCCGCCAATTCCTTCGGCGTCACCTCTA